GCCGGAGGCGTACTCGGCAGTCACCTCGCGCCAGCGCCGCTCCTCCTGCAGCTGCTGCCGCAAGCGGCTGGCCTCCTGCTCTGGGCCGCCGTCGCGCTGCTGCTAGTTCATTGTCTGTCAACAGGGCGCTTTCAACTCATCGCCGTGCGGGACGATCGAAATGGGTACGGAAAGAATGGGTGCAAAGACCGACAAGGCTGTCGGTGTCGCCGCGGGACTGGTCCATTTGAGGCAGGAGGCCGCCTGCCCAACAGCGGCCGCTGTCGGCTTTGGACAACATTTGTTGTTGGGCATCGTACCCATGTTTTTCCGCACCCATTTCGGGCGCCCAAAACCGTCCTCGGGTTCCCTGGGGCCTGGGGCCCTCCTTGGGCCCCTTGGGGTGGGCCCGGGGCCGCCCCCGCACTGGCCACAAGACGACTGGGGAAGGAGAGGCCTGCTCCGGGGGCGAGACCTGGGTCCAGGATCATGGGCCAATTTCCCACCACCACTACCACATCTAGGACGGGGGAGAAGTGAGGATGGGGAGGTCCTCCTCCCACCTCCTCCTCCTCCTCCTCCTCCTCCTCCTCCTCCTCCTCCTCCTCCTCCCCCTCCTCCTCTTCCCCCTCCTCCTCCTCCTCCCCCTCTTCTTCCCCCTCCTGCCTCTCCTACCCATGGCCACAGTGGTGGAACATCGGCCCACCAGGGCCCCGCCCGTGTCGCGGTGCCTTCTTGCAGGAGGGCGAGGGGGCAGCGCACACCTCCGGGCGACGCACGGCCTCGGCCGGCGCAGCGTGAGGGCACCTTCGCCTTCCGCACGGGCCGTCGCGGAGAGGCTGGCCCGTCGATCGGCGCCCAGCACCAAGCTTAAGTCGGGCGTGTCCCCCTACAGGGGGCTTTTCGACGAGAAATAACACATACTCAAAAAATATTCCAAAATTGTCAAAAGTACGAAAAAAAACGCACCTAATTATTTTTGACTATTTTTGAATATTCCCCCTGTAGAGGGACAGGCCCGGCTTAAAACCAGGCGGCGACGACGAGGAGCCCCCCCCCATCCTTGCAATACCCCCTGCTGCTCACCGGGGGAACCAACAGCCGACGACACCGCTGCTCCCAGACCCTTGCAGGGGTGCGAGTCCCGCGGTGGCGACGAGGGCCTCCCGGGAGGCCCAAAAAGAGGAAAACGAGGGAGTGGCAGAATCATCGCACCCGACAGGGACTGTGCCGGACCCAAAGCAGACCCTCTGGAGGAGCAAACCCCAGAGCAGGAGGAGGAGGAGGTGGAGGAGGAGGAACGGGAGGCGGAGGATGAGGATGAGGATGAGGATGAGGATGAGGACGGTGATGATGGTGATGATGATGATGATGATGATGATGATGAGGAGGAGGAGGAGGAGGAGGAGGAGGAGGAGGAGGAGGAGGAGGATGGGGAGGAGGCGGAGGAGGAGGAGGAAGAGGAGGAGGAGGAGGAGGAAGGGGAGGAGGAGGAGGAGAAGGAGGAGGAAGAGGAGGAGGAGGAGGAGGAACACACTGTGGAGGAGTAGAGGAGGAGAAGGAGAAGGAGGAGCATCTGATCTGCAAGCCCGTGGAAACCAGGTCCAGCGTAGGACCGATTCAACATTCAAGCCTGCGGGAATTGACCACCATTTTTGGGGGGCAGTCCCGTCGCCAGCCTGGAAAGGACCTCCTTCCTTGCCTTCGAAGGCGGACGGTCAGTCTTGCGTGGGTTCACGAGACTCTTGAAAATCACACTCGCATGTGCAGCATACTGCTCACAATAGAGCACTCCTCACAGAACCTTCAACCGATGATAGCTGGCACATCCTGGGTAGATGGGGGTTGGGCGAGCGGGTCAAAAGAGACAAGGGTCGGGCCAAGGCAGGGACCTGGGCAACAGTCCTGGACACGATCCTTCAACGTACACCTACCTGCGCACGCCTGAAATCCCACCAGCCCTCTGGGCGTCGGTGGTTTAGAGCGTTTCCTCTTCCACCCCTCCTTCTTCCCCTTCGGGGAGGGGTTTACCCCTCCCCCTACCCCCTCCCCACTGACCTGGACAGGAGGGGCCGCGGGTAGTTAGAGCGTCCAAGAACGACCCCTGGGAGGGCTAAAATTCGACACCCCTCACGAGGATCGTGCCCCCCAGGGGGGCGACGCTAAAAAATGCTTCCCCCTTTGCGATCGATGTCCTCCAAGAGGGCCTCAAGAGACGTCTCGGACTCTCCTCTTGCGCCCTGCGCGCGGGCGGGCGGAGCGCCGCCCGCCCGCCCGCGAGGCCCAAGAGCCCACCAAAACGTTCGAAGATACCTCCAAGACGCCACCAGGGAAGAGGAAGAGGCGGAGGAGGAGGAGGAGGAGGAGGAGGAGGAGGAAGGGAGGAGGAGGAGAAGGCGGAGGAGAAAGAGGAAGAGGGGGAGGAGAACAGCTGCCGATCATCGGCGCTCTTCGTTCGAGCGCCTGGTGTAGGATGGGCTGGTGGGGATACGCGAAGCGTCAAGAATTTCAGCAAGGAGCCGAAGTGACAGGGTTCATGGCCAGCGTTCCGCCACCCATGCTTCCGAACCTGAAATGCAGTAAGGGAGGGAGGGCGCGGGGGCGGGCGGCCGAGACTGTCAGCATCTCTGCGGGGGTTCTGTTCAACAACCTCCCAGTGCACCGCCAGCAGGTGGTCATGAGCGCGGGAGGTAAGACGGTCAACATACTTGGTCAGGTCAGCCTGTTCAAGAGACGGGGAGCTCCTCTCAGCCGCCCAACCCGCAAATCCGCGCGCCACTTGGAGAAATTCTCCTCCTCCCCGATGGCGAAGTGGGCCCTCTGCAGGGCCAGCGAATGACTCTTAGTCCAGAGGACTTCGATCCGACCAAGGCACCCATCATCGAGAACCGACTAGATCCGAACCCACAGATCGAACATCGTGCTGCATCTACCTGAGCACGTGGCTGCCCCACCCCCTCGAACCAATGGGTGGCATTCGGAATGACATAGACTATCACCAGCAGTATGGAGAACAACCAGAAGCAACACATACAGCTCAGCACGTGGACCCGACTGCTCAACGGCAGGTAGGCTACCGCGCAAATTACCAGCCAGCTGCATAGAAAGCCCATCCAGGACACCCGAGCCAACTACCGCCCATCCACACCCCCGAGGCCGTTTATCCGCAGCAAGCTTTCTACCCGAGCCGCCAAGGCCCCGCCTGCCTCCAATAAGTCGTCGCAAGCCCCGCGAGGTTCCTCAAGTCAAGACATGGGGCCCCTCGGGTGAAGACGGCGCCGCCAGAATCTGCCTCAAGAGCCCCAGGGACAATGAAATCACGGTTAGCATTGCACGCGCCTGGCAGGAAACGCTTAGATCCCACGCTCATCTCCACGCCGAAACCGTATGCCTGCAGCCGCATCCTGTATCTTGCAACCTGCTCCGGGGCCGACATGCTTCAACGGCAATCGCAGTGCGCGGGGTGGCGCCTGTGTAGCCGCGGCCATCTAGCACCGTGTTGTGCTTGGACTTAAAGACGGAGAGGTCAGCGCCTAACGCAAGGCCTTGGCCGCCGGAGTGCTGGCTGGCGTTGGGCCGCGCGAAGGCAGAGCAACTAGCGCGTGCTTGAGCAGTGGCGCTGCGCTGACGGGCGCGCCAGCTTCGGCATGCCATGCATCGACGTGACGAGGCTGCCAGTCTGAATCTAACACGGTAGCACGCAACGCTGCAACGGGACCACGGACGTGACGCCAGCGATCAGAGGGTGCTGCATTACTAAGCCCATCGCGTCAGGAAGTCCAGACTTCCTGAACCCCTGTCTGTGGATTTCGAGAGAGAGAGAGAGAGAGAGAGAGAGAGAGAGAGAACCCCAAACTTCAAAAACCAACTAGAGCTGCCCAACTCGAAGGCGGCATATCGCCTGTAAAACCATCGAAACACTTGCGGTGCGCGACCCGGAAGGCCAGCGTCCAGAACAAGAAGCCGCGGGGGGCCCGCGCTGCTCGGCCGCCCCCGGTGGAAGCCCCTAGAGAAGATGTCCCCAACGTTCCATCCGCCTAGATTCCAGGTCTGTAAACTTCCCAAGAAAAACCGCGCCACTTCGAAAAATGCGCGGGCCTCGGGTCCTGCGCGCACGAGGCGACATGAGCTGAGACGCCATGCCCCTTAAATCAAGGGGCCCAGGGACACGAAAATAAATGCACGCAATAAGCAAGATTCCCCATATGTTTCCATATGTTATGTTGTTGTTTTTTGTTGTCTCCCCCCACTTCACATAGTTTCCGATATTTTCTGGGAGATCGACGATTCATTGTGACTTTGTGTTTTCCCCCCTGATTAAATTCACCTCCAAAAGCCGCCGCAACTCCGCGGGCGAGGCCGCGACCAAGGACTTGGTGCTGAGAGTTCATCCACGGTCTGACATTGCGAGCTGCAACCCAGCGGCTGCCAGAGGCGAGCAACGTCAACTGCAGGCAATCGTGCCCTGCAAAAACTGCGCGATATCATCCACGTGGGACCTGATCGGTACGCGACGGCGCGAGCCGCCTCCAGGGCCCCGAGGGATCCTGTGATGAGCCTTCTCCAAGACGCCATGCAATTAGCACTTGACCCAGGGCGCGCTCCAGCTACAGCCCGCCAAGATGGAGCCCTCAGATGCCAGCGCCCGCGGGGGACCTCCTGACGCCGCCGAGGGCCTCGGAGCGGCGTGGGCGAGGGGCCCCCGGCGCAGCAGGCGGCCCGGGCAGCCGTGGTTCGAAGCGACTTGCAGGAGCTTACAGGGGCTAACCGAATCGAAGAACTTCGCGAGGGCACACTGCAAGGCGCACGAGTGCACGCCGAGGGCATGGGCCACCTCTTGGGCCAGCCCACGCATTCAAAGCCGAAGGCCCCATGGCCGCAGAGTTCCAGATGTCCGGGCGAGCTTCGTTCCACTCGCCGACGACGAGACCCCGGGCCTTGCAGTGGATCCTATAAACGCCCAGGCACACGGCGATCCCCCGCTCGTCGCAGATGGATTTAGGCAACGTGGCCATCAGACG